TGACATTTTCCTTTCACTTTTTCCTCTCTGTGTTTTCCTAGAAATTGCCTATGGAAAAAATGATGCTACCACAATTTTATTGTGACAATAATATTACATTGGGTGACATGATTTGGAAGCACCTATTATTTTTACATCAAAGTCACAATATACCAGTGAAATATTAGATAGTCCTACATTTTTCTCTACTAGGAAAAGAAAACACGGACTAGGAATATTGTAGAGAGTTCCATCTATCCTACATGGTAAAACCAATCACTAACAGAAGTGAACCTTCAAATCACAAGCAATTTCGCCAAGCAAAATTACTTTACAGAAGAACTTGAGCATCATCTTCTGACTAATCGTCATCCTCCGAATCTGTAACAGGGATTGCTTAGTGTTATTAAATATATGTAGAAAAATGCTTTTTGATTTGGAAAAAAATAAACAAATCTTTTGCTCATGATGCAATATTTCTATAATTGTGCATCAAAGTCATCACTAGATGAGAAAAATGTGAGTTCAAGAAATACTATTCTGGTGTCAGTTTGTAGCAAATATACAAATGCGATGTCCAAGAGCATATTGCATTCTTATGTCTTTTGATTGGCTTCAGTTACACAATTATGTTGCATCACAAAAGGGATTTCCTCTGAAGAAGAAATTGAGAGATTTTTCGGCATTTCTTTTTTGGCAAGAGGAAAACTTGTAATGACATAATTATAATCTGCATATTTAAATTAAATGAAGGTTTTTCCGAATGGTTTTCGCACGGAGACGAGCAAACTCGCCAAAAAAAAAAGAAAAAAGAAAAAATGAAAGCAATATATCAGGGGGAAATTAGCCAAGGAGGGAACAATTAAACATTAATTTGAAATAACACAATACCATGCCTACCTGATCTTATATCTTCTCCAACTTTTCCTCTATTCTTCAGTTGTCTTCTGATCATTGAGCATATTAGAATCCACCAATAAACATGGAAAACGAGCAGCATCAATAGCATTGTATTGAAGACATAATATATTGCCATGTGATATGGCTCTGACAGGTTCAGGACTTCGCACAAGTAGTAGCTGGGGAATGGCAACCAAAAAATTGCAATTAGAGGAGAGGTACCAAATGTTGTATTTTTACATTATCAAAATTGAAACTAACCTTGAGGATCGTATAACCCAAAATGGAAAGAATACCAGCCTTAGTGTAAACCATGAAATGGCAAACAATCCAAAGCACACACTAGCTCCAAGCTCATTTTCAGAATATTTAAAAACCTTAGCAGCTTCAAGAAATACATCACTTGCATCATGCAATGCAAGAATCACTGCACCTGCCCGAAAGAACCTATATAGAATGAACATCCATATACTCTATTAGTTCGAATATATGTATCAATTAAAATTTGAATAGGAAAAATATTCAAATAATTTTAAAGTTGCATGTTTGTTCACAGTAGTTCACGTCAAGATGATTAGATGCGAAAAATTCGAACCAGAGAGGCAGATTAATATAGAGGAATGATACAAGGACCTATCTCATTCCTTTCGTTTACTAATCTGTAAAATCACATCAGAAGTTCAATATTTTCCAGCAACAATAAGAAGCAGATGAAGCAAAAAGATACCTTGCCATGTATGAGTAAGCAATCAGAATAACAGTGACAACATGATGAGACATCATAACAGAGAAATCCTTCCGCCTTGTTTCCCAGGTAAGGAGGGCAGCAGAGCTATAGATGTAGAAGCCACATTGGCACATATAAATGAGGGTCAAAGGAGGCCTGAAATGGATAATGCAACAGCTAAGTTTAAATATACAGCACACCATCAATACATGTATGTCCTAAAAGGCACGCAACAATGCAGTTTGGCAGCCTTGTTAGCACGCATTGGTAAATGTGGGTACAAGACTAGTAGTCTATTCGTTTGAATACTTTGAACAATGTGATTATAGTGTTATTGACCAAAAAAAAAAAAACAGAGAAAAATAAAGAACTTATACTTTGATATATAACTTTTGCACGTTTGAGCTTAGTACAATAAGTATCTTGAAACGTTTTCTAACCTCTTCATCAAACATTACCCTCAAAAAATAAGATGCTAGCAAATGGCACCTTACCAATGCATTTGGAGGAAAAATACCCAAAACAGAATACTCTCATTCATCATTGAACTGAACCATGTTAAAAATTGAAAGCACAAAACCATTTTGAGATAAATGATCCAAGAAATCGTTTACACTAATTCAGTGCTTAGGCACACAATAGCCAGGTCCAAAAAATGGCTCCAAAAAATTTAAATAAAAGCTAAAATGTAAAATTAAAGGCACTTTTTAGCGCCTAAGTTTGCATGGAACGCGTTAAGGTCAAAAGAGGAGTTGGTCGCCTTTTTTTCACGCCTTTTGCATATGCGTGGCATTTTGAAAATGTTTCATGCCTAACAAAAGAGCTTGAAAAACCAAAATTCACGGGTTTAATCATAGCCAGTAGAGGAATTCAAATTTCTAAAAATTAGAACTTTCGACAACTTGGTCGTGATTAAAAGCATATTGGATATGCCAACAAAGTCACTAAACCCTGAGTACACCAACACCTTATCCTTCATTTAGAAATTAAACTTATAAATATTTTATAGATTCCATCAAATTTCAACAACGTATTCACAATATTCCATATTAATATTTAACAAGATATATATTTACATTGTACACGTACAAATGCGCCTGTAGCTCAGTGGATAGAGCGTCTGTTTCCTAAGCAGAAAGTCGTAGGTTCGACCCCTACCTGGCGCGTTTTTACATTTTAAATTTTACAGCCGTTAAACTCGGAAAAAGCTCCACGTGGCAACCAACGAGACCAGATGTAGCAAAATTCCGGTGATATCAAGTGTCGTCCGAACAATTATCCTCTGGCAAGAGTGGACGACAGTAAAACCTAGCTCCCATTTTATCGGCCATTAAAACCCTAAAACTGTTTACACTTTGTTACTATAGATAAAAATTTAATTTTCGTATTCTTTTTTGTTCAATTTTGAGCTCTTCCAGCAGCCATGAAGGCGTTCGAGGTCGGTGGCACTACTCTCTCTCTTGCTCTCTTCACTGACGTCACCAATACTAAGTACGCCCTCTTCTTCTTTCTAAATTTCTATACACTCTATATTACATACGCGACGTTCGTTATTATTATTATTATTTTTAATAATTACTGCGTGAATTGTGGTTCTTAAGAAATGTACAGCTGTTTGCAGTGATTTATTAATGGGCAGTGCTGGGCGTACAGGGGGAAAAGGTTTGTGCTTTTGAAAATGTTCTACGTGTTTGGTTCTAGGAATTCTATAAAAATCATCCTCGTGATATTGTACCTTAGGATTGAGGAGCAATTGAATTTTTTGGACATAAAGACAGGCTAGTCCTGTCTTGAATGTAGTTTCTGTTTTTTGGTTGAGTTCCAAGTATATAAGGCATTTCAGTTGAAGCGAGGAATTAATATCAACAAAGCGTTCTTTAGTTTCTGTTGACTTCGGTTTTTTGTAGGGACGACGTGTCCAGCAAATCCCAATTCCTCTCATATCTGCGTAGGCGTAGCCTCTTCCTGTGCATTTGGACAAATAGTTAGAGCACACAGCTTTCTCTGGTTGTGGGAGAGGTCAAGAGCACTTTAATGGTTAAGTCAATCTATTTGTGAGTGAATATTTGGGTGTGGGACATTCTAAATATGCGAGTCACTATAAAAAGGCATTTGGATCTGAGAGAGAGAGAGAGAGATAGAGCAACTTTATAGTTGAATGTATAAGATTGCATTACCTTCAAATGACACTAAGCGTGAGCTTTTAAAGTAATAGAGGAGAAATTACCGCCATTAAATGAAGAGACACGTGGCCTCATCCTGAAGGTCAAGGCGCCGTGTCATTCTATCAATCCTAGGCTCACGTGCATTTAATGTTCTAACCATTTGCAAAACTATGCCTAGCTTGTAAGGATTATACTTGACATTTTGACTTATGAAAGTGTTCTCAACTAAGATTTTGATGAATTTTAAAAGATTATGAATCTTGATGAATTTCATGGATTTGAATCGATTTTCACAAGTTTCATAATAATCTCATCAAATATGGTGAAATTTCAAAAGATTTGGTAATATGTATTTTTAAGCTTGAAATCCATCCAAATTTTTTAAAGTCCGTCTATTAATGAAATTCTTATAAATTTACTAGTTATTGAGGATACCTAAATTTTAAAAAATTTCATTGAATTTCGTTAAAATCTCAATTGTGAATACCTAAATTTTAATAAAATCTCAATTGATAGACACCTAACTTTGGAAAGATTTTTAAAATCTATCATAATATTAATTAAGGAACCCCTTTAATAGACTGGTTGCGAGTGGTCACATCATCCAATCATGGAGATCTTGTACGAAAGATCCTTGAGCTCCTCGCATCGCCTTGTTCACGAGGGTTCGACAGATTTTGCCACGTGGGTTTTGTGACGTGGAGTGTGGGCCTGGTTTCGCTTATTGATTGGCTGCCACGTGGCCATATTTTAGAGCCTCGCTGGAAGAGGTGTATCCGTTGTGAATATTAAAAAAGATCGCTCTGATTTTGGTTGGTTATGGAAATTCTAGATGGCTCCGACTTGTTTCCTAATTCTCATTTAAGAATTTTTCATGTATCATTTGTTTGCAAATTTCTTGATTTTGTGTTTATAGGTGATATGCCTGGGATGATATGCTTTTTTCTGTAGCATATGATCAGATTGATTACACAGTCAACTGTCACAGAAATTTTTACCGAAAATGAAAACTGTGAATATTGTGCTCTCCATTTGAATACAACTTTGTATCTTTGCATTGAACTTTGAAAAAGGAGGGAAGTGATTATTTTCATTAGTTTCATTAAAAACTACATGCACGAGAAACTGTTTCCAACAAATCTTGTGTGTATATTCCATTGTGCTGGTTTCGAGCTTGCATGATGTTTGCTCAATGCTATATTCCACTGGGGAAGGAGGGTGGAGAACAGTTTATGTTGAGAAGTTTTGAGAAGAAACTGACGAGTTTTTCTG